AGGGATTTTATAGTACTGTACACAGGACAGCTGTTACCCTTCCCTTTATAGTTATGACAGTGCTGTTCTTCCTTTAACTTTTCCTCTTTTTCCTTATACCACTGTCTTTCCTCTTCCTGTCTACTATCCCTTTTGTAGCTATCCCTACTATTCCCACTGTTTCTGTCTTTCCTGTCTCTCCTGAACTGGAGTTGTCTTTTTCCCTTTCAGCTCTGTTCCTGGAGCTCCTCTGATGATGCAACCCGAGACCTGTGAGCCTGAGTCAGCTGGTATGAGTTTCTATTTGCTATGTAGACATACCCTGAATTCCTTACAGGGAATGGAAATAGATTCATTGTGGTGGTGTATTTCATTGATTGGATCAAAAACATAGAAGTCTTCTCCTGTAATTGGTTCTGACCAGCTTGGGCACCTCCAGATTTTGCCTGCAGTGCTTGTTATTCCTGGCAGCATCCATTTCATTTGCACTCCAGATACTGGTTCCAGGCCAGCTCAAGTGAAGATTACATTAATTGCAATCTGGATGTTTATAAACCAGTCAAGTCTCTGGTTTACTACCTGGTTCAGCATCTTCTACTACCTGAAGATCATCAGTTTCACCCATTTCTTCTTCCTCTGGCTAAGGCTGAGAATCTCTGGGCTGGTGCTATGGTGCGCCTGAGATCCCAGCTGGGGTCCTTGGTCTTCACAGTGCCATTATCTTGGTGTGTTTATAGCAGTTTTCTCCTCCACACAACTGAGCGTCTCATTGGAAATATCACTGGGCAAAAATAATGAGAAAATCATTGATATTTTGTTTACTTTTTTTTCAGTAGTCTGGAATCTTTCTTCCCCTTCATGATATTCTTGGTTTTAATCATCCTGCTAATCATCTCTCTTTGGAGAAACATCAGGCACATGCAATACAATATATCTAGCTTAAGCAACCCCAATACTGAGGTCCGTGCTGGAGCTGTTAGAGCTCTGATCTCCTTCCTTATCTTCTATGTGCTATATTTTGTGGCTAGTGTTGTCTCAATGATAATGGTTGCTGTAGTCAAAACTCCAGGATATGGATGATTTGTGAAATCGCGAGGGACATGTATCTCTGTGGACTCTGTTGTTCTCACTCTCGTCAATCCCAAACTGAGACAGGCATCAGTGAGACTTCTCCATTGGGCTAAGTGCCATCTGAGACAAGAGACTTCATAAACTTTATCACAAGACTCCCATGGAAAGAACTTTTCTCTAGAGCTAGTGGGAAATGGAATTTCCATTCCATGAGAAATAATTACAAGATTGTATTTATTTATCCTGTATATACTTGAAGACTGAATAAATTGGACCCCATGTGGGAAAATATTTTAATTTCCTTTGGACTGTTTTGAGTTTGTTTTGGGAGCCCTGAAGAAAGGGAAAGCAGAGGCAGGCTTGCAGAGCAACCTCTGGCCATGAAGGGGTGCTCTGGCGGCGGCCAACCCCGCTAAAAGTCCCATTGCCATTTTTTGTGTTTTACAATTACATTTTCCTATTTTTAAAGATGTTTTTCTTGCTTCTGTTGCTGTGTGAAAGAATCACACAAATAAGAAACAGTGAAACTGACTGTAAACAAAGAGTGGTGAAATGCACACAGTAAAGAAACTTTGGAGTGAAGGAAGGAAAAAACGTTAATCTCTTTCAGTTATAGCAGCATTACTTTATAGAATAGAAACAATAATAGGTGAAAAAATCAGAATTGTGCATTTTGATTTGATAGTATGGTTATGGTTTGTTAAAAATCTATGTAAAATTTCAGATTTACACATTTTCTTACAGAAGCTTCTAAATAAGTCATCTAATTTTTCAAAGTGCTGAGCACCCAGCAGCTCCAACTGGCCAAAATGGGTATGTCTCAGTGCTGAATGTGTGCCAGGACTTGCCAGGGCAGATTCTAGGCTTGGCAGTTCATAGCCTGGCACCTTTGGGCTTGCCACATCAGTTATGAAAGTAAAACAATTGCTTGGGCCCCAGCACCTCTTTCATTACAAATTAAGCACTTGAGTAGTATGTCTACACTGCAATTAAAAGCCCATGGCTGGTCTGTGCCAGCTGACTCAGGCTCGCAGGTCTTGGGTTAAGGGATTGTTTAATTGCTGTGTAGCTGTTTGGGCTCAGGCTGGAGCCAAGGCTCTAGGACCCTGAAAAACTCCCAATTAACTTTATTCATTTGTCCCCTGTGAGTTGTCCCTTTACCATTAAAGTCTGTTAGGTTCATTTTTGAGTAATTCATTGTGATTTTTGCTTGACTATTGGCAACAGCAAAATGTATAAACTCTTATTGTCCCCTGTAGAACATGAGGGTTAACAGATTGATTACTACAAGCTGTGGCTTCTTAAAACATAAGATGAAGGAAGAGCCAGGGGTTAGAGCACTAGTCAGAGACCTGAATGCAATTCCCTTCTCTGTCACAGGCTTCCTGTGTAAACTGAGGCAAGTCACTTAGGCTCAGATCCACAAAGGTATTTAGTCCCCTAACTTTCATTGATTTCAATGGAAGTTAGCAGCCTAAATAACTTTGTGGATCTGGGCATTATCTTTGCTGCACCTTAGTTCCCCATCTGTAAAATGGGGATAAAGGCACTTCCCTACCTCACATGGGTGTTATGAGAATAAATCTATTACTGATTGTGAGGTGCTCAGGTACTACAGTGATGGGGTATATACGTACCTTTGCTAGAGCAACACACAAAGTGGCAGTGCCCTTCCACTCAGCTCTCATTAGTTCCAGAGGTCTCATAGACTCATAGACTTTGAGGTCAGAAGGGACCATTATGATCATCTGGTCTGACCCCCTGCATGCATGGTCCCTCATGCCCTCCTTCCAAATTGCAGTTTAAAAGAGGAACTTGGGGAACTTCCCTATAGACAAACAGCAGATAAGGTAAACACTTACTTATGCTAATCATGTGGCTGCTGATCTGGAAAAGTTTTCAGCATCATTTTAAGTGTCCCATTAAACCTCTCAAGCAGCCCTTTAGTCTGGAAGTGACAGGGAATGACCAGAAATGTTGAACTCCACATTTCTCTCTTAGGTGGGCAGACATCAAGTATTGTGCTCTCTTCTCCTTGATTAAGCCACTCGAGGAATGAAACCATCATTGTGTTGTCTCAGCTCTTTAGCTGTTGTGGAGGCATGATGTGTTTCCTAACTGCAAGCTGTTTAGAAGAGCACCCATCCTGTGAAATGATACAAAAGAGGAAGCCTTTATGGACACTGATTCTCTTCTGAGAGAGAGAGAGAGAGAGAGAGAAGCACATACACAAAAGGAACCACAGCATGATCGCCAAGGAAGCCAAGAAATATAAAAAATTGTGACCAAGACCCAAAGGACAAATACTGTTAATTCCTTTCCACAGCATCTATTCCAGACCAAGAGATACAATGGAAAAAGATTTTTGAACCATCCTCTCGGTGTGGTGAGCTCTTTCTGAGAAATACTTCTGTTCTATTTTATTTGTGTAGCTTGCTTCCTGTAATTCTCCTGCCTTTTATGACTATAATGGTTTCTTGGGATTGCAAAGATTTCAGTGGGTTGGAATAAGCAAGATTCACAGTCTCCTATTTAATTTTGAGAGACTCCAATTGTTGTTTCTAATTGAGGAGCATGGAGGGGATATATAGAACTGGGCATAGGATACAAGATTATAATGACCGGGGAGATGTGACTGCTCAGAATGGTGTGTGCTGCTTTCTTCATGGGGCTGGAATGATGCAGAGTAAGGCAACGGACTGGCACTTTCTACAACAGGCTGATTTACAAAAGAAAGTTTTGTTTTTTAAAATGAAATATTCCCCATCAAATATCATCTCCTTTTATCTTTATATAGATGTTGTCTGCTTTTGCAAACTGCCCTGGGAGGATTCAGTCAATGAAAGTTAGGGGCCTAAATACCAATGTGGATCTGAGCCTAAGTGACTTGCCTCAGTTTACACAGGAAGCCTGTGACAGAGAAGGGAATTGAACTCAGGTCTCTGACTAGTGCTCTAACCCCTGGCTCTAGAGATCTCCATTCGAATGTCAACTGATACCATCTATTAATTTACCACAGTATGTCAAGTAACAGAGGGGTAGCCGTGTTAGTCTGAATCTGTAAAAAGCAAAAGAGGGTCCTGTGGCACCTTTAAGACTAACAGAAGTATTGGAGCATAAGCTTTCGTGGGTGAATGCCCACTTAATCAGACACAAGACTGTCTTGCGTCTGATGAAGTGGGCATTCACCCACGAAAGCTTATGCTCCAATACTTCTGTTAGTCTTAAAGGTGCCACAGGACCCTCTGTTGCATAGTATGTCAGTTATTGCAGTTATTTCCAATTCTAAGTCCACCACCATTGTTGGCAAATGTTGGTTTTATAATGGTGACTGAAATTACTGTATGAGGTAATCGTTTTCATAGAATCTAAATTCATCCATCTTGGGGAGACTTGATTTCAGTTGTGATCCATTCTATTATTGCATACTACTTTTGCAATGCAGCTATACCTGCAGGTGCTTCCTACCTAATAATCAGTTGAATGTTAGAATCTTCTTCCAAGGACAGTAGTTTGTTAAACCAGACAGCAGATACACAGATAGCTTTAGTCCAACTGGAAGAAGGAATGAAGGGACTAATTGAAAATAAAACGAACTAGTACTTTACTAGTACAAACTTTACTAGTAAATGATCATAGCCATTCTATTTCATGACAAGCTGCCATAGATCCCTGTGTGCTCAGATATCATGGAGATGAGTGAAGACTAAAAACTTCATGCAGATCCCAGGAGACAATGGAGAACACTTACAAAGTGGTGAATGGTGTCATTTTAAACTTTTCAGGGCTAAAATTCAGAATAACATGAACTGGCAGCTAGTGATTCCTGGGTTGATCATCTTGGCCATTAAACTCGTAGGAATGTCCCTGTTCATTGTATATTGTGAGTATCAAACAGTATTTGTTATTTCTCAAGTGGAATTTACATTCTCTGGGATCTTTGTAATTAAATCTCAATGCCTCAGGCAAGGCCCATGTAAATCCCACAGAGTGGCATTCAACAAGATTATCCATACCACTGTTACTATCTTTGTCATCTCCAGGGTGGACAACTGTGCATTGGATTATGCTTGAAAACAACTCAAATCCTTCAGCTAGTGCAGAACTTGGTTACCTGTCTAAATGACAGACTGATGTGAACATATAATACCTGTGTTCTGTACCATACACTGGTTTCCCTTCCCCACCCAGCTGCAATTCAAGTGGCCAGGGACTTCGCTATCTTGGATATCTCTTCTTCCCGTATACCTTTAAATGCTCTTGTTGACTATCTCCATGGTTGAACTCTAGTTGGGGAGGGATGTGGCATTTTAATGAAAGGCTCTGAGTCCTAGTACTAGTACTCTCTACCATTGCTCATATTCTTCAATTTTTAACACAGTGCAATACACATCTGGCCAATTTGTCTTTTTAGCCTGCAAATGGGTTTTGCCAATAGTGTGAAGATGAAAGAGAGTCAGTTGCTATATGGTGCTTGTAACCATATTTTGCAATTGGTATTGATTATTTACATTTTTATACCTACCTGGAGAGATTCCCAGACAAAACACTTTGGTAAAATGGAGTGAAAGCCAAGAAAAAAATCCATAACTTAAGGAAAACATGTAAGATAACATCATGGTTCTCAAAACCTAAACATCTAAGAGCCAGGAAATTCAAGATAATATTAAACTTTAAAAATTGTTTGAAAGTATAGGAACTGACCATTAAGATCTCCTGAGCAACCTTAACTCTGCCCCTCTTATCCCCACCTAGCTCAGCCACCATCCCAGTGACAATTATATTCAACAATAGAGGGCAAATTGAAGGTTTTGATACTGGTATTGCATAGGGCATAGAGGCCACATCAGGGATCAGGGCCCATTGCGCTAGCTATGTCAAATATACAGCAAAAAAAAAAGATGCTTCCCGTAAGAGTTAGTAACCTAAGTATAAGACAAGAGCTATCAGATGGCTACAACAAATAGATGGGGAGGGGGAGCACAAGGCAACAGTGAGATGTCTATGAC